CCCCTTAAGGCAGGCTCGCAGTCCCCGAGTCACTCCTTAATTAAAAGTTATCACACTGTCACGTCCCCTGTATGTTTATGGGAACGTAACTTGAATGCTTGTACCTTTACATTATACCCTAGAATTTTCCAAGGGAAGCAAGTCTCGGGCTGATGCAGTAAGCTGTAGGCTACCCCGGTTTTTAGACGGGAAACGGAGTCGCGGGAAACTGAGCGCTCCAGGGCACAAAGAAGCCCAGAGCTTGGAACCACGGACTGGCTGGTGACACCATCTCTTCCCCCAGATCTGTATTCTAGGACCTGGAAATAGGCAGGTTTGGGCATTAGCTTCACGAGGGAAGCTGGTGCTTAACGACCATCCAGGCTGAGATGGTAACTAACGACATATTTAGAATACTGCATTCCTAAAACTGGAGGACTGAGCCCCTCCCTCTAAGATTGCGGTGGGGCTGTACTAAAGCCGCGCTCTAATCAACGTTAAACCTCCAGGCCCAGTACCTCCCATTCCAAAGCCAGGGCCGGTTCATACTTGTTTATTTTATTGAGACAGGGTTTCTCTTTGTAGCCCTGGCTGTCCTGGACCTCCCCATCTAGACCACGTTGTCCTGGAACGGCCTGCCTCTACCTCCCGAGTGCTGTGGTTAAAGACATGGGCCACCATGTTTAAATAGTTTCCACCTGACCATCTGGAAGCTGCCCTGGTTTTCTCTTTCTCTGTCTCTAAGAAACCCTAAAGAACGGAATGTTACTGAGACGTACACTTGATGGATGTTCTAGGGCTGGAAATTTTTTAGTAGAAATTTAGTTCTGAAAGGCAAACACTTGAGTCACCTAAATTTACAGGCGGTGATTTGAGACTCTAGAGAATTTGTGATTCGTCTAAAATTAGGCATAGTTAGCTAGCAGACAGTGTTCTCATTTTCAACCCACCCACCTCCCTTCCTCCCTCGACCTTCTGTTTCTGGTTTTCCTGGGCTGTGGGGAGGGCCTAAAACACACTCTGGAGCCCAGGAAAACGAAACTGTAGGAAACTCTAGTGTGGTACCTCTGCAAGTTTGAGGCCAGCTTGGTCTTCATAGAGAGTGCCAGGTGAGCCAGGACAACATAGAAGACTCTACATTTTAAAAAATTAAAAAAAAAAAAAAAAAAACCAAACTGTATAGCAACATAGAAGACTCTACATTTTAAAAAATTAAAAAAAAAAAAAAAAAAAAAAAACCAAACTGTATAATGTGTTGTGTTTCGAGACAGGGTCTCACTGCCAAGCTGGCTGGTCTCAGAACTCAGAGCTGTCAGTATCTGCTTTCTGAGTGCTTGGGATTGAAGGTCTGACAAAAGGTTTGGTTTTGGTTTTGGTTTTGGTTTTTGGTTTTTGATTTTGGTTTTAGGAAACACTACTGGGCCTCAGGTTTACCTAGGCAAGCCCTCCCTCAGCTCCTAAAGTGCTTGTCCATAAATCCATCGTTTCCATTCCTTCACCAATTGTAGACTTTTTTCCTTGCTGTTAGAAGATTGTGTAGCATGGGTTGAAGTCCCTGGGTTTGGAGAGTGAAACAAAGGCAGCAGAGTCATTCAGAAACCTGGGCCGGAAGACACGGATTGGCAAAGGCAGAAAGGAAATTCACAGTGACCAGTCCATGAGAAGTAATATTTCTGGAGAACATTCTCGTCAGTGACTGCCTCTCCAACCACTAGGGCACAGATGCCTGCCGTCCCCGCCCTCAAACCACCCTAATTCTTGTCTTTTTTTTTTTTTTTTTAAAGTGGATCTTTTCTAGAATTTTCTTTTTTCAATATTGAGGATTGACCCAGGACCTCAAGCTTGCTAGTTCGACATCAATGAGCTACATGCCTAACCCTCTTTCCCTTTTATTTTTGTATAAAGGCCTCTCTGTGTAGTGCTGGTTGACCCAAAGGACAGCACCAATAAAGAAGGAGAGACAAGTTCATTTTAGCATGTCGCCTGCTGTCCCCTCAAAGGAGTCCAGACCAAAAATAGAAGCCCTGAGTTCTTGCTTCTGGCAGGTGTGTCACTGACAAGCGTCCCTGTGACCTTGGGCAAGAATCTAATAACATCTGCATGGTAAATTCCTAATGTATAAAGAGAGAGGATGAGAGAATCCACGAATGATGCTGATTCTGTGAAATTCTGTAAACAAAGGGGTGGGGAGAGATGTGGAAGATTTTAGATCTCCTGGCTATGGCTTGAAGGAGTCATGACCCTGAAAACCACTGAAGCAGCAAAAATTCAGAATTAGGATAAGGCCTGCTGTGAGGACTGCAGCAGAGGCCAGGAATCCCCCAGAGAACACTGGAGTCTACCTGCCCCTTACAGGTGACAAAGGCCATCAGCCCTGGTCAAGAGAGTGACTGCTGGGGTCTTTTAGTTTAGTCCCAGGGGGGCAGAGGCAAGACTGGGCAACTGCACTTGCTGAGGAACTGTATCCTGTCCTGTGATTTTTATCTATAAGGTACTGGAGTGGGGAGGTGCCCAAGAAAACATCCCATCCACCCACCTAGCTCCCCATCTTTCAGAACTGATTTTTGGAAAGGACTTTGGGACCCTGTGAGCCTCTAAATCTGCAGCCCAAACCTGGGCTCCTCCCACCGCAGGAAAAAATCTTTTTTTTTTTCAAAGACAGAGACTTTGAAGCAGAGCTCTGTCTCGGGACAGCATTATTTCCAGTGAGCTTTGGACAGAGGACAACCATACCCTGCAGAGAGGGTAAAAAATCAATCATTGAGGCCCCAGACATACCCACTTCACGGAGAACCCAGGTCCAGCAAAACAAGTTACAGGAACTGAGAGTGGCTGTGACATTGCAGCATTGCAGTTGGGAAGCAGCAGCCTGGGTCTCTCTGTCACGGGAACTGAAGTCACCAGGACAAGAGAAAAAAAAAAGTGTGTGTGTGGGGGACAGTGGATACTCTTCTTGTTTCTTGTGAAAACAAAGAACTATCTTCTACATTGTTTACCTCCTTCATTGTCTGAGGAAGGGTCAGCAGGTTGAAGGCCCTTGTTGCTAAGCCTGACTTTGATCCTTTGACCTCCATCCACATGGTGAGAGAAATTAACAGACCCTAACAAGCTGCCCTCTGACCTCCCAACACACAAAATACATAGATGTTACAAAGTCATTTTGTTGTTGCCTAACAAGCTGCCCTCTGACCTCCCAACACACAAAATACATAGATGTTATAAAGTCATTTTGTTGTTGTTGTTTGTTTTTTCGAAACAGGGTTTCTCTGTGTAGCTTTGGAGTCTATCCTGGCACGGCACTTGCTCTGGAGACCAGGCTGGCCTCGAACTCACAGAGATCCACCTGCCTCTGCCTCCCGAGTGCTGGGATTAAAGGCGTGAGCCACCAACGCCCGGCTATAAAGTCAATTTTTAAAATTTAGGAAAGATTCCAAATTAAACGGGATCCTCCTTGGGAATGAGAAAGCCAACTGTCCCCCTGAGAGCCTCAGCTCCTCCTGCTGCTGCTTGTTAGCTCTAGGCACTGCAGTCTGTGTAGACCTTTCTAGAGAAGGCCTGGCTGTATAGCCAGTGGTAGAACCAAAGGATCAGGGAAGATGACTGACAACAAAAAAAGCAAAAGGGCTCTGGCCCTCCCCAGCTTAAAAACCCTTCAAGACCCCTGCTGGCTCCATGCCAACAGTTCTAGTTAGAAACTAGAGACTGGTTTCTCCCTCCAGTCTCCCCTCTTTTTGGGCTAGTTGATCTTGGATAGAAGTAATTAGCCTTCTCTCCCCAGCTGCCTGGCTTCTGCTTGGTCCCTCTGCCATCCCTGGAATGTGACATTTACCCAGTGTGCTTTGTTTCCCTAAGGCATGGGAACCCTACGCTGAGTGCTTCCAGCCCTCACAGCAACCTTGTGAGAAAGGGGATGCTGGTACCCTTATGCCAAGACACTGAGGCCCAGAGTTCTCCCTCTCTGTGTCAGCAAGGCCTAGCACATAGTAGAGGCTCCATATGTACTGAGGAATAAATAAGCTCTGTGTGTCTGTGTGTCTGTCGTGTGTGTGTGTGTGTGTGTGTGTGTGTGTGTGTGTGGTGGGGGGAGTTAGGCAAGTGTATATAGCTTAGTTGGTAGAACACTTGCGTGCAGTGGTAGCGTGGTAGCATGCAGGAAACCCCAGTACTACATGAGGTGGGCATGGTGGCCCAGACCAATAATCCCTGTGCTTGGAAGGTGAAATGGAAAGGAAAAGGAGTTCAACATCATCCTCCCCTACTTAGGGAGTTCAAGGTCAGCCTGAGCTAAAGGTCCTGTCTCAAAACAAAATAAACTGGAATGGTAGCTCTTTTGAGACCAAGGCTTTTTGTATACACTTGTAGATTCCAGCCATTCCAGAAGCTGAAGCAAGAGGATCACATGAGCCTAGGAATTTGAGACTAGTCTGGACAACATAGTGAGCTCTCATCTCAGCAATAACAATAACATATAAATAAAATACAGACACACCCAGAACAGTAGCTGAAAGAGTGCATGCTCCAGAAGTGTGCTGTGCCTGTACCCCATGTTGGTCTGTGATGGGACAATGAAGTGTCCTGAAGTGTCCCACAATAATGGAAATTAAACTCAGTGATAGTATGTTTGCCTATGGAGGGTCTTCAAAGTCTATTGTTATTGGGGAGGCGGGGTTAGGCAGAGCAACCCACTGCATAGGAAAACAGCAGGGTAGAGAATGGATACCCCAGCAGGACACACTGAAATGGTATTGAGCTGTCCAGTATCTGAAGCTAAGAACTCTTCCTCCTCTGAGGACTTCTGGGAGGCCCACAGAGGCTGGGTGCGGGGTAGGTGGAGCTCTGGGTCAGCTTTCACTCCTTAGAGCTGGCTCAACCTTTGTTGTCCTTCCACTGGCTATGAGTCACCATGGGAGGCATGTGGCCAGCCCTCACCTATGCTAGGCGCCTTTGTGGCCTGCTCAGTGGACCTTCTGGAATGGCCTGAAATGACGACAAGGCTTCTGAAGCAGGTAACTACCACATTCTTATGTCCCTGATGTGTTCAGTCACCTGCTTGAGCTCTCTGGTGGGTATTTATGTTGGCCCAGACTGCCCAGCCCCAGCGTGACGCTCATTAATCATGGATACCACACCCCTCTTCATTTTTCATATAACTAATTCCGATGCCACCAAAACGAGTCTGTTGAGTGAAGCTTCTGGGGGTCTTTGCCAGAGATGTGTTTCATGACACTGCCAGGTGGGAAACCAGAAGAACCACACGATGGAGCATCTCCTGGGTTAATGTAGAGCCCAGCTGTGTCTGAAGCTCACAACATCTGCCTGTTCCTGCAGGGAAGCCAGCAGGAGCCCAGTGACAGCTTCAATGAAGTCTGAAGATTTCCCTGCATTGCAGCAGAATTCCATAAGAAAGTTTGACATTTCTCTCCCTGTCTTGAAATTATTTAATTCTAATCCCATGCCCTTCATTTACAATGATACATCTGCCACTCAAACAGTCACATGTTCAAGGCCAGCTCAGCAGGTAAGGGCACTGGCCACTGAGCCCAATGACCCTAGCTCAGTTCCACACATCCTCATGTGCAAGGAGAGAGCTGGTTCCTTCATGTGACCTCCACATGGGCTACATCTCAAAAACAAAGTAAGTAAGCCTGACTCACAGGGGTCAGTGGGGTCCAGGGTGGAAAGTGTCCTGGACAGAACATGTGACCAGAGGCAAGCAACCTCACAATCAGCAAGACTGGTTTGGTGAGGTTTGGGGGTCTAGGTGTTGAGGTGAACAAAAGAAGTGTGACTAGGGCCCAGAGTGAGGGCTTGAGGCACCTGGACAGAGAGTATGGACTCTGTCACCTACACAGAAGGATGACTTTTTAGCTGGGAGGCTCTGACTTTTGAACAGCACTGGAGCCCAAGGCCAGAAAACATGGAGGCCTGGACTGAGGAGGGCATAGGTTATAGGACAGAGAGAAAATAGGGTATGGAAGCTGCCTGTGCCCTCATGCTGGCCCAACACGACACATCTGCTTGGAATGTCACCGTAGCTCCCAGCTTTAACTGGCAAAGTCATTCTTGTCACACGCCCAGCGTCACGCCTCAGAAATGACCCTTGACTAGCACCTGCAGGTGTGCCTCAGCACCACCACATGACTCAGGCTCTGGACAGCATGTATTTCCTGGGATGATCGTGTGTTTGTAACATGGATCCTGTGTTCCCCTAAGGGTCAAAGGTGACTTCTTGGTTTGGTTTCTTACAATGGAGAGGAAGTTATTCTGGGAAAACCTCAGGCTCCTGTACGTACATAAAAGGGAGCCTATGCCAGCGGAGACCCTAGCTCTCTTCCCATGGACAAAGGGGAAGGGGGACTGCCCCCAGTTCATGTCACTGACTCAGCTTGAAGGTTCAGCTGCACTGCCCTGAGATCAGAGCTTACTCCAGACTAGACGTCTGGCTGCTGTGGTCAGGCAGCTCCTAACAGCAAGGCCAGATCCGCTGTATCTTCCCACAGAAGTCTCTCTTCCAGTGGAAGCTTCTAAATAGATATACAAATTCCCAAGGAATGAGCACCCACAGTGTTTCTGGGGCTGGCTCATTCCAGGCCAGCACCTGGTGCCTGAGGAAAGTCAGCCATAAACAGCTGCTAGTGGGAGGGAATGAGAGAGAGGCAGCTGTCATCCCTCCACCCCCAACTCCCTGAGCCCCCTTTCAGCCCACACTAAGAACGTTAGACCCAGCAGGGCTGAGAACTGAATACTGAGAAAGGAGAACTGGTGGAAATTTCCATGACTGTTCTGACTATTCCTAGCCTTCAACTGAGAACTAGGTGTCAACAGAGACACAAAGGTCACCCTTTCTCAATTCTTCATCTTCCTTACCTACTCCCTCACCCTGCAGGCAGGGACAAACCCTCCCTCAGCTTTATTAGGGCTCTTCCACCCAGCTCCACTCTGTCAGAATACTAGTTATACTGGTGATATGTCCGTTCTGCTCTCCCTTGGGAGCCCCCCTGACAGTGCAGCCATCACCCCCAAGTTCATCTTGAACTATGACCTGTGTTTTGTTTTACATCACTGCTTGTTACCTAACAGTTAAAAATACTTCCTGTATCTCTGGAGTCTGATCTCAGCTTAATGAAGTAGTTCTGCATACGGCTGCTGTGTCATCCACATAGCCACTCCTTGTGTGTGACCTGGTGTGACCTTAACCTAATGCTGGGGACTTTCAAAGGCTCTCATAGGTTCCAGCCATTTCCCACAGATCTCCCAAGTGCAAGCCAGCACTGTAGCCTGCAGAAGTCAGACAGGAATGTTTATAGTCAGCATTATCCTAGTATGGCCAGTTCTACAGGCTGAATGGTGGGTACTGAGCCCTAGATAGGGGACTTGGGTATCTTGGAGCCAGTAGGAGGATCAGCTCTTTCTTCTACACAGCCTGAATGTCACCATCCTCCATGCTTGTACTTTGACAATTGTCCATCCTATCCTGGATGACATAGGGGGGTTCCATACAGAGTCCCCAAGAGGCCATCACACATGATGCCAGGCTGGTTGTTTATTCCCCCCTCAACTGGGATGATGGCATGAGGCCGTAAGCTGCATAGCACAGACCCTGCCTCAAGGGGTGTGCTCCTGTAAGCCGTAGCTGTCACTACTGTATCCTGCCACCTGTCCAGCCATTTGTAGCACTAAGCAGTGTGGGGCACACTCCTGATAACAGCAAAAAGCTGCAACCACGGATCATCAATAGATGCCCAATCCCTCCCAGGTCGCCAGAGCTGACTGGAGCCAGGCACACCTTAAGAAAGGGTTAAACATTTCAAGTTACTTTATCTACCTTGAAGCAGGAGGTGGCTGAAAGGTAAGATGAAAATTCAGGCTAGATTCTGGGTGGAATTTTCCTGAGTTCATAAACAGGACCAGTTAGGGTTGCTAAGGGAGAACACCATGGAAACAGTCACGTGTGCCTGACATCTGATTAGTCCAGCCTGGTTCGGGGACCATTACATAGGCTGCTGGCTCTTTCATTGGCTGTCATTGCTCTCGCCACTGAGAGACGACAGTAGATTGGTCCAGGGCAGGACGTACTGGAAACTGTTGTTCTGAGCCAAGGAAGATATAGCTGCCAAAAACATTGCAATAGCAACTGCTTTCCTTTCTGACCCCTGGG